TCTCTCTCTCTCACACACACACACACACACACACACACACACACACACACACACACACCACGCACGCCCACACACACACACACAAACACACACACACACCGCGCACGCTCACACACACAGCATGTGCCTCCTCACCAGTCCTGCTCATCAACAGTCTCCCTTCCCCCCTTCTTTGCATGTAAAGCATCTTGAGACTTCCTGGTCCCTGCTTCCTCGTCCCTTTTCTTCTTCGTGCAAAACATTTGGGAACCCTTTATCCCTCAACCCTTTTGTGTGCAGCATCTTCCTATCCCCCTTGCCTTCTGGACATGACACCGGCGTCATGTGGGTATCCAAATACAGATTGCTGGCAGTCTTGGCAGATATAATGGCCAGACACCTCTACATGCTCATGATTTCAGGCGGAAGGTGAGTAGACATGAGGGCATGTGCCTGCCCATTGGATATGTGCAGTTGCGGAACATCTGCATGTCTGGAATCACTTTCGTGGACATGTCTGATGGCCGCCAAGCTCTAGTGACATTTTACATACAAGTGAAGGGTTTCTTGAACTTTCTTCAGTAATACGGCGATTAGGCCGTTGGAAGGTAAAATTGCATGCACGCACCAAAGCAGTACTGAGCTCCGTCTGCAGATGTTCAGCATCGCGTTCCTTGGCCTGCAGTTTGCGCTTCAAGACAAGGTGGGCCGATTGTGCCTCAGTCGCCTGCCGCTGCATCTCATTTCGCCACTGCTCCTCCCGTACAGACAGCTCTTTGTGAAGCTGGTGCACATCAGCAAGTGCCCTTCCTTACAGCACAGTAGAAAGAGATTCCGACAGGAAAGGCAAACGGAAAAATAAGAACGGATTTGGGCCTAGCTCGGTTGGTACACCCATAAACCGATGAAAAAAACTGACCCGAGTTCGAATCCAGATGCAACCGGATAAACACAGTAAAAGTTGTAAAACCATTGTGAAGTACCTGAGGCTAGTCACTTCAATGATTTGTGATGAGATGATATCTCAAGGGCATTGCCCTTGCTGAAAGAAGGGAAAAAAAAAAAAGCATATATAGTATATACGTATTACGTATACAATGCTGATCTTCTTCTCTTATCCCTTCCCCTCCGATGCTGATCTTCTTCTCTTCTCTCCCCCCCCCCCCCCCGGACCTACGACAGCCTACCAACTGTTCTCACAACACAGGTCACGGGTTCACCTTTGTACAAACATGCTTGCCGGTTACAAGCAACCGAACTGACGCCCCCCCCAGAATAGAAGGGTCCCTTTTTTAAAAAGAAACAAAAAACAAAAACAAAAAGCAAAAAACAACGTACTATACATATATAACAACAACTCTCATTGGAACATTCCTCCTCTTAGGCATCACTCAACATCCTAAGGCAACATAATGCCTCCCCACCGTCCACGCATTACCGGCTCTGCACATGATATCCAGTTATTTCCATCTTTTTTTTTTTTCCAATTTTTTAAACAAAACCTTATGGTCCTGGCGCCATATCCATTCTGGGGAGCATCAGTTCCGTTCCTACGCCCCTTACATCCACATACACACTCACGCTTCCTTCCAACTGGCCGAAGGATCCCTGAATTACTCCCTTCTTAGGAGGATTTGGCTGTCAGCTTGCCAATCTTCCTCCTCTCATCCCTCTCAGACCACAAGTACGATCCCAGGAGGATTGACCACTCAACCAAGACCACAAGTACCATCCGCGAATTGTCCCTTTCCCACTTCATGGCCTGGTTCCCTCCCCTTTCCCCACTTTGTGGCCTGGTTTCCTCCCCTTTCCCCACTTCGTGGCCTGGTTTCCTCAATGTCCTGGCAAATGCAATTTTTGACGTTGCTGTGCAAGGGAAGACTTTGTGCGATCTTGTAGCGGATCGGCCTTGCCAACGAACAACGAGTATTCCGTTCAGCTGCATACCAGAGACACGGTCAGGGTTCAACCAAGGGCTGGCTGTCCGATTAACCTTGCATGCGAGAATGAAGGACAAAAGTGGCAGATAAGACATTGCAGTTGTCTTGGTTGGGTTTGTCCTCTGAGCTGTGACTGTTGTCTCTTATCTCCAGATGGGATCGCGTCGTTCCTCCCCATTCCTGAGTTATGACAGGCTTTTCACCTGATGCTCAGTCTCCCAACCGCTGCCACCGTGCCTATCGCTGGCCAGGTATGTTGAAATCTTGGTCTTAGCTGGTGTTCTGATTCGGGACCCCCCCCCTGGAATTAAAATTTCGATATTCCGGCACTTGCATAAAAGTTCTGCTTCAATTAGGTTTGGGGTTGCTGCCCACACCTTTCCACTCGAGTTCCTCGTGCCATCCAGCGTGATGCTGCATCTCTCCTCTCTCCTTCCAAATTGACCGTCAGGAAGTTCTGCTCCAATTAGGTTTGGGGTTGCTGCCCACACCTTTCCTCTCGAGTTCCTCGTGCCATCCAGCGTGATGCTGCATCTCTCATCTCTCCTTCCAAATTGACTGTAAAGTCCCCTACCGTCTCAAGCCATACTATAGTACCCGTTCTGACTTACTGAGACTACTGGTAGCTGGAATGTCCGTCCATACAAAGAGCTGACTCCATAATTCAGACGTTGAACTTCCTTTCTCCTCTCCTGTTCGACGTCATACAGACAGAACTTCAATTGCGAGAGAGAGAGAGAGAGAGAGAGAGAGAGAGAGAGAGAGAGAGAGAGAGAGAGAGAGAGAGAGAAGCTGTGGATTACACAGAGAGGAAGAAAGGTAGATATGCAAAGAGCTTCTGTGCCAGCTTCTGCCATCACATGCGTGGAGTGCACACCTTTGACGATGGATGAGCGCTTCATCGCGATCCTTCTCCAGCTGCATGATTCGCTGAGAGCAACCTGAAAGCTCATCTTGCATACTCTTGATGACAGCCTGTTGCCTGTCGATCTTCAACGCCAAAGAGCATATTTTCCGGTCTTTCTCTCTCAACTCCTCCTTTGCAAGTTTCAGGTTCTGACTGCAAAACCACTGGTGTTATGTCGTTTTTCAGTAACAAATCAGCAATCACAAAAGCTCCATTTTCCGTTCTACCCCAGCATTACCCACCACTCTGCCTTGACTATACCTCCCCCCCACCCACCCACACACACACACAAAAGCGTAGGCCTGTGAAATATAAACAATGAAGGAGGGCCAATTTCATTGCACCGGTGCATCTGTCTGAGAATCATTGGATTATTACATAGACGATTTTTCAAGTGCATCAAACAGTGACTTTAAGACCGGACCCTAAACGACTTCCGCTTGGGGGGCAACCACATAACACCACAAAGAGCTTGAAAATTGGGATTGGGGCCCGGGGGGGGAGAGGGGGGGTAATTGCAGAAATAGCACATTTTCCAAGTTTCCCAGCGGAAATGTTTTCGGGGTCCCAAAGATGCATTTTTGCGATGAAAGAGGGACCCCGCCCTTGGTATGGTGATGCTCCTTACTACAACTAGTCTGCTCCAGACTCAGCGTCAGCCTCAGTATAGACCGAATGAGCGTGTGTGCCTCCGTCTAAATGTATGCACACCGCCACCACCTGCTGTCAAATGAAAGGGGAGGAGAGGGGGGGGGGGGAGCGGGGGGGCATGTTCACAAGCGATAACGAGGATTTGACGGCTTCAGCAAGGGTGACGTCACTAGACCGCTGTGCCTCGGACACAAGGCCCCAGTAGAAGCGCATAAAATCTCGTGTCCCCCCCAGGTCCGACCCTGCCATCCTTCTCTGTCACTGTGCTTGGGACAACATCAAGATCATCTATCTTCAAGCACTTCCGTGCACTCTATTCCGATGCGGACCGATTGAACTATTTTTTTACGGTCGGCCGTGAGGCTACACCATGTGTTCTATTTGAATGGAGTCCGTGAGGCTATACCATGTGTTCTATTTGAATGCAGACCGTGAGGCTATACCGTGCGTTCTATTTGAATGCAGACCTTGAGGCTATACCGTGCGTTCTATGTGAATGCAGACCTTGAGGCTATACCATGTGTTCTATTTGAATGCACACCGTGGGGCTATACCATGTGTTCCGGGAGTCCATGTGTTCTATTTAAATGCAGACCTGGGTTGAATTGTGAGGGCGCCGGCCTCAGATGGTTTTATAATGAATTGACTTGGTTTTGTTAAAAAAAAAAAATGCAGACCGTGAGGCTATACCATGTGTTCTACGTACATCTCAGAGAGAGATAAATGTCTAGAAATTTGTAATTAGCGGATGAAAAACTCCGCATTAAAAAAAAAACAACAACAAAAAACATGGGTTCTATTTTGAATTTTGAGGGAGCCGGCCTCGGATGGTTTTATAATGAATTGACTTGGTTTTGTTAAAAAAAACTAAATGCAGACCGTGAGGTTATACCATGAGTTTTATTCAAATGCAGACCGCACCGTTGCCGTAAGGTTATACCATGTGTTCTTACCATGTGTTCTATTCAAATGCAGACCGCATCTTAGCCGTGAAGCTATACCATGTGTTCTAAGTAAATGTCGACCGCTCGTTTGACTTGCTGCACGCGAGTGGCGCTGAGGAAAAAAGCTGCCAACACTGCTTGTTGGACTAAGAGAGGACGGAACATCGAGATGAGCATCAGACTGGAACTGCATCAAGAAGAGCATTAGACTGGGACTGGGGGCTGGAAATATTCATCTTCATCTTAACCGGGGGCAAGGTCCCACTTGCGCAAATTAGGAGATCTCGGCCGTTGATCTTTGCTATACATACGGTCAGTATCTCTTAATTCGTGCAAGTGGGACCTACAGCCCCGGCGGGAGACCAGGAAACGGTAAGGAAGAGAAAGGAGGGGAGAACGGGTGAGTGAGGAAGCGGTTGAAGTACCCAACTTGTCTCTGGAAGATTGCAACTGCCACAAGGCCTGAATTTTCTTGGAATTTGTGGCAAGACACTCAGTTTCGGCCATGGATTTCTTTAGCTTCTCATTGAGCTGGCGCCTCTCCTGCAGCACCTCCTGGTACTTCTCCTGTATAATGGACACTCTCTCAGAGAGCTGCTTGTTCTCCTCCCGCAGCCAGCGGTCAAGCGGTGTGACAAAAGTCCAATCGTTGTGCCCAGACACAGTGTCTCCCAAGTCATTCTGAGTCCCGCCGCCGCCGCACATACCAAAAGCCAGCTCGTCAGCCTCCTCTACAGCAGCCGCAGCAGCACCGGCAGTTTCAGGGGAGCAGGCCACTGTCGCTCGTCGGGCGGCCGCACTAAAGGCAACCGCCGACGCCCCTCCTGACAGAATTCCCGGAGATCCCGACGTCACAATGTCCCCGGAGACTAAGTCAAACCTAGATTGATGAGAGACGGCCTTCTGCTCCGTCAGCTGAAAATGAAAGGAATGCGATTGCCTGCAGTGCCGTCGACTTCCTACTCCTCCTGCTGCTACATGTAGGTCACCCGTATCGTCATGACCGAGGATACTGCTGCATGCGCGACGTTCCGCATCTGCTGTTGCTAGTGCGCCTGCGCTGAGTAGTCGGAGTGTGCGCTCTGAGCGAGTTTGCCCTTCCTCCTGCTGCGGCCGCGGAAAGCGCAGCCCAACGAACGGCCTGCCAGCGTCCACAGGATCTTCCAAAGCCCCCCCACGACCGCGACGGTAGGCGTCGGCACATTGCAGTCGTTGCCGCGCGCGGCCGCTCTCCAGCTGCGCTTCCCCCCCCAGAGGATCGAGCATTTGTCGGCGGCGCAGTTGCCCCGCGCGGCCGCTCTCCAGCGGCTGCGCTTCCCCCCCCTCAGGATCGAGCATTTGTCGCCCGCCGCCGAACAACGTCGACGGCTCCTCCCCCCTCCTCCTCCTTATCGAGATGGTCCCAGCCAATTGCGAGGAGGAGTGCGACAATCGTCTTTCCTTTATCATTATATCACGGCGACTATGGTTATCTTCCTCCGTTGGTGGCCATCTGGATGGTGTTCTTCTTCCTCCCACAACAAGTCCGGAAAATGGTTCTGACGCTTGGGCGTCGGGCGGCTCATCGGCCGATCCACGCCAAGCCCCAGCTGTGAGACGCATACTAGCCAATATTTTCTCTCTTCTTGCGTGGTAATTTGCAGCCTCCAGAGTTGAATTGCTGGGGCCGTCGACGAGCGAATGCGAGAGAGTAGCAGCAGCACCATCCTTTGGCAAGCACAGTGGGAAGAAGGGGTGGTGGTCTATAAGTGGAAGGAAGGGGGAGGACCGTTCGCCCTGACTGCAATACGTCGCTCTCAGTCGGTTCAATTTCTGGCTGAGGGCGTCGATACTCTCCGCATCCTTCTTCCCCTCATACTCCCACCGCTCTAACGCTCCTCCTCCTCCTCCCCCTCCTCTGATTCGACTTGCCTGGGCGGGCAAGGATTTTCCATCTCGGTGGTTTGACTGACTGATTGTGGATGATGTGGCGGGCGCATGCCACCCCCCGCGGGAGCTTGTTGGCCTCCCATTCATCGGCTGCTGACGTGTCGAGTTTCGTTCTCCTGACCTTCTTTCCAGTTCTCTGACTGTCTCCCTCTCCCACTCCACTCCTTCTTCCCCCATCTCTTCCTTATCCTGTCTATTTATTACTCCTTATCAACTCTGCTTTTCCTTAACCCACGTTCCTCTATTACGCACGGGGAATGTCTCAGCCGCCGCCGCCGCCGCCGCCGCCGCCGCCGCCCTTAACACATAAAATTTCGCGAATCCTATCGATCCAACCTATCTGCTCATTAAGATACCCCTTCCTTAACAACTGCGTTTGCTTGGGTATGAGATGAGTGTTCCAAATCCGTGACCTACCAATAGCTCAGTTGGGAACAACACCCCATGAATTGTTGAAAGACAGACCCCATGAACTGCTCGAATCCGAGTGCATGAGGGGGGTATTTAAACCATATTTAAACCACCAGGACCTCCAAAAGTCGCTCCCGCATGCGGCCGAGACTTACGGAGAGGATGAATGGACCACTGCCGGAGGGGCCAAATACACCCGCGTCGAAATGCTTCCACTCTTACTACTAGTATCTTTTCCCGCGGCTGATATATGGGAAAAGAAAGGTACTGGTGGTTCAACAACGGAGTTTACTTGGGTTTGAGACGACTGTTCCTGCATAGGGGACTGTCGCCACCAATCACGTGATGACAAGCTTCGTGCAGTCTATCACCATATACCAAATGCAGCAGTGATTCGCAGATCCTTGCATCGTCTCCAACCTTTGTCTCTTCATTTGGAATTGCTGGCCATGGTATCATTCTGCTCCACCCCAACGAGTAGTAATAACCCAGGAGCACGACAGACAGTATAGGCAAAACCAGTCAGAGTAGGGTCCACATCATCACAATCATCACAATCATCAAAATCACAAGAATCATCAAATCCATCATCAAGACCGTCAAAACCATCACACAGAGCCCGGGCATCCATGAGCACATGTTCGCCGATCAATGCCCATCCATGAGCAAAAAGTCCGAATAACAACCCTCCTCCTTGCAGGCAGACACTGATGAAGTTCAAGCAACTGTTCGAGGGGTACGTAATAGTCGACTCCGCATTACGCTGTGCCCATCAGCATCCATCACCAACACTCTCATCCTGGGAAACGCTGATCCGATTTACGATAACTATCTCCTCGTCAGATTTTCAGTCCCCTACCATCTTCAGTCCCCTACCATGAGTTAAATGAAATCCAATTCAGTGCAATGACATGAAAATCGCATATACGTTCACACACACACACACACACACACATACACACACACACACACACACATGGCGAATATGACAACACACATCGAGACCTTGCTAAGGTCTCCGTTAAGGCAGATCGATGCGGGTAGGGCCGGGACCGTACTACCGGTCATGGCATTGGATGTGCATGGCTGAGTAGGTCTTATGACTGTGTCAGACTAGCTTCTCACACGTACTGCCGTTCTTGTCAGGGGTTTGGGCCGACAGTCTGCTAGGATTGCAGGCATGGGTTTGTGTGAGTAAAGCCGACCACTCTTCTCAGGGGTATCGCTAACTCTGGGCGATGCGGTGAGTCCTTAAACATCAGTCAAATGCATCCTGGGCAGACTGTCGGGTTTCAACCTCCTGACGAGTCGGTGAAAGTCCGACGAAACAGTCTGTTCGGCACAGTCATGCTTTTTTCGAGTGTATAGCGAATATGACCTCACACACACACACACACACACACACACACACACACACACACACACACAGACACACACACACACACACAGATCGTGATAGGGGGGGAGCGCGGTCTCACCAAGGGAAGAAGTCGAGACTATGACGGATCAGGAAACGAGATGTTTGCTAAGCTGTGCCGATCATTGCCATTACTCTGCTTTTCTGTATCTCTGCATAAAACGCATCCAGATTCAGGCAATTAGTCCAATCTTCTTGGCTAGTGGATACAGCCACAGCTTAGCAAACATCCCGTTTCCCGATCCGTCATCGGAAAGTCGAAAAAGACGCACCCAGCTCATTCAAGATTCCACGTGCAGATCATTGCTATTGCTCTGCTTTTCTGTATCTCTACATACAACGCATCCAGATTCAGTCGCCTAGTCCAATCTTGTTGGCTACCTAGTGGGATCTCGCCCTTATTCATACAACCACGGTCTAGCAAACATCCCGTTTCCCGATCCATCATCAGAAATCCAAAAGCACGCACCCAGCTCATTCAAGATTCATTCATTCATTTACAACTTCCTCACATCCGAGAGCTCGCACACCACAACGCCACCCCTTCATGCCGTCGTTCTTACTCCAGAGACGCAGCTCAGTGACACATCATCCCATCAACTTACAATTGCATAAACAGATTAGAAATCGCCAATCAAGTTCTCAAAGAGCTACCATGCACACATTCGTTGTTCGTCGTTCGATCACGAGAGTAATGCAAAATCCACAGATGTAACGGCAAGTGCATGTCATTCAACTAACTGAAGGGATTCCTAAGAGAAAGTCGCAGGTGCATTTGACCGCTATTATGGCCTCCTACTTGGATCCGGCTGACCGCAATTACGTGCAGAACGAGAGTGATTCACTTGATCAGTGATTACAGAGGTAGAACCAACATGGATCCCGACAACCCCTCAACACCATCGCCACAGTCGGCCCCACCGAGCATATGACAAACCATCGTCGTAGGTGTAGCAGAACCGCCACCGCAGCTGCGGCCATGGCGCCCCGGCGCGCTTCGGCTCCCGATCCAAGCCCCGTCAGTGATAAAAACCCCTGACCCCACCGCTCTTCCCCTTCACCCCAATCCACGTCCCGCCGTGTCCATATCCCTCACAATCGATCGTCAACCCCGTGAACCACCAGCGTGCCGCCGCCCCTCCGACCACGCAATTACGTACAGAAATAAGTCCAGAAATAGGTACGGTCAAGGGGAAAGAGAACGACTAACCGGCCGACGTAGCGCAGTTGGTATACCCCTGAACTGCTGAAATACAGACCGGCGTTCGAATCCCACAGAACACAGATAAGTGAAATACCACATAGGGCCGGTCAGTTCAATGAAGCGGTCAGTTCAATGAAATGATGAGATCTGAAGGGGGAACGAGAACGACTAACCGGCCGACGTAGCTCAGTTGGTATACGCCTGAACTGCTGAAATACCGACCGGCGTTCGAATCGGACAGGACAGAGATAAGTGAAATACCACATAGGACCGGTCAGTTCAATCAATGAATGATGAGATCTGAAGGGGGGGAAAAAGAGAGCGAACCCTCGAGTGGAGGGCATAGGTCATCGCCAAACCACTCTCGAAATGTGCAAAATGAGAATGAACTGCCACCTAGAACATGGCCAGATGCACCCGCCACATTTTTGTCTTTTCACATTTCGAGAGTGGTGTGGCAAGGCCCATAGTACACAGAAGACAAAAAACCATGGGGGTGTATATTTCCATATTCTAGCGGAAGATTCACTCTCGTTTTGCACATGTCGAGAGTAGTGGAGCGAGTATGGGCCTCGCTGCACCACTCTCGAAATCTGCAAAACGAGAGTGAATCTTCAGCTATAGTATGGAAAGATATACCGCCATGATTTTTGTCTTTTGTGCATGTCGAGAGTAGTGCAGCGAGGCCCTATATCCGCATATTTAGGAAACAGAACTTGCGGAGCGCCGATTTGGGGATGGAGTAGAAGTGCGAGTCACGTCAGGTCCCTAAACAGGATGACACAAGGGGCCTCGCCACACAACTCTTGAAATGCGCAAAATGCGAATGAACTTCCTCGTATAACATGGCCAGATGCACCCGCCGCATTTTTCTCTTTCTTCTTTTCTTTTTTTCTTTTTTTCTTTTTTTTTTTCCATTAGCAGGTGGTAAGAGCAACCCCGTCAAGTGATCCCCCGCAGCGAAGGCTCCATCTATTGGTGATCCCCCGCAGCGAAGGCTCCATCTATTGGTGGGAGCAACACCTGCTGGAAATCGGGTCCAGCGTCCCTGTACAACGTTCTTGTAGCAAATGAAAAGGATCTGAATGGGCCACATGGCCATGTACATGCAGAGGCATTGATTACTCCCCCTTACGGGAGGAGGATTAACCTACTGCACCTATCTCCTACTATATCAAAGCTGAATTGAACTAAATTGGATTGATTGGCATACCGAAATCTTGTGAATAGGCCCCATCCACTAATAGAGCCCACTACTGTCCACTACTCACAGAGGGTAGTATATCTAAAAACGAATTATATGAGATTATAGTAGGACAGGGCCTTGCCACGTGTCAATATTCATTAATTTTGAATTCCAAAAAAGGCCTGGTCACTATATCCATCCAATCTCTTCCTAAGCTATCAAACCCATCGGACATCGCGGTAATGAGAGATCAGAGCTGGCAATCCCCCACAAACCCTTACTCTCTATCTAACCCACCCCTACACGCCGGATAGCAAGAGACCAGATGTGCATAAACGAACCCTCATCATCGGGAGGGAAAAGTCGAGGGGCCGAACCCACAGCCCACGCCTGTGTAAATGGACCTACCATCGTCAATAGTGGCTTGGCCGCCATCATTGTCAATTCCGCCCCTGCCAGTGGAATTAGCGTGATCACCTTCTTGTCGTCTCCGCTCCCGCCAGTGGAATTATACCGGTCGTGGCGATTGATGCCCCCGTCGCCATTGGTGGTGATGTCACCTTCGTCGTATCGTGTGTCATCGTTGTTGTCGTTGTGGTTATTGTTGTTGTTGTTGAAATTGCTGTTGGTATTGTTATTGCCTCGGATGCAAGCCGATCCTCCAACAGAAATCGCAGATCGCAACCCTCAGTATATAGAGCCATACAAGTAGCCATCATGCTATCTGCCCGCCGCCAATCGATGTAGGCCTCACCCGCCACATTTTGTCTTTCTCACATTTCGAGAGTGGTGTGGCGATGCCCTTGCACTGGCCACAGTAGCTTTCACGCTTTCTTTTCCTTCTTTTTGTGGGTTCTTCATGTTGACCCACCAGAAATCCTTCCCACCTAACGAGGGGGGGTGCCGGTTCATGGCATGAATAGCGCTCGGTCCTGCTGCCACCGGTGAATGCCGGTCTAGCCGCCTGCCGTCAGCCGCCATGGTTGACGCGCAAGTCGTCATGTACACAAAGTTCAGCTATGTATGACTCCCTTTGACGCGCAAGTCGTCATGTACACAAAGTTCA